ATTAATGTAGACACAGCATGCTGGAAAAGGGAATACAAGTGGATTTGAATGGATGAGAGTCAATGGCTTGCTAGTTATCAACTGAGTGATATTTGTAATTATACAAAAGTGACTGTATGTGAACAAGTGAAGTGATTTCCTTTCTCTCTGTTGAGGACTGAAGTAAGCAACTTGCTTTACATTAGCAATGGGTTCTTATTTGAATGCTTCAACATTCTGAGGTTGTTATATGTGTTAAAAAAGCAATACATTTCAGGACTAGGTCCATTTAATCTGGATGACCCTGTAGTAGATAAACCATAAAATACCGTTTTCTTTTAATTTACTATTACAAACTCAATTGGAATGAACACATTCACTTTCAGTTCATGCCCAAAAAATGGTTTTACTGGAGCATTTCTTTTTTTTAACTGAGACTGCAGAATCAGCGTCACTGCGAAAGAAAATAAATGTGGGAGAATTTTAAGACTAATTTGATTGATTACATTTTGTTTTGGGTTTATGAAACAAAGAGATAACACATCATTAGCGGCTTCTTGAAATCCAGAGGGTCAGCATGACGTAAAGGTATTCACAGTGTGGACCCCTGTGTTAGGAACACAATAAAGGATCCATGTTGCATACGGAGACACTGTCAGAGGAGAGAAAGGGCTGGTGGATTCTGTGATTTAGAGTGTGACGGTGTTACGGCCTCATATGATGGTTGCAGGAAGTGATGTAACAATCAACGGTTCATTGTATGTGTGGAGAGCACTGTGCCGGACACACCTTTAATTGCTCCACTGTTAATTTGACATCTTAAGAGGCAGTTTGCGGACAAACATTTAGTTTTGAATTGAAATCAACCCTCATTGGCTCCAGCTGTTCCTCACCACTGAGAGAGATAACAGTGTGACAGGCCATCAAGCTATCAAATAACGTGGATCTGAAGAGTTCATGTGTTAAATATTTGTACTGTTTAAACTAAATATATGTAAGGACAATTCAAAGTTACATTTAGTAAAGGGGGAACGTATCCCCATATTTCTACACTGAAAATTATAGATAGATTATTTATGAATATTTTCGAATGTGTACTTTTGTGTTTGATTTTTGTTTGTTGTAATATTTATATTTTGTACAGAATCCTGATCGAAACAAATTGTTTTAGTTAATTAACAAACAATTAATATAATAATAATCAATTTAATTTGTAAGCACACTTTTCCTTTTAATAAACGAAACTCAAAGAGCTACAGAGTAAACATCTGAATAAAACATGAACTTGGAGTCAGAGCAATGATTTGAGGATGGGTGTGATGTGATAGTATGTTCGCACTCTCATCCGTGAGTGTGGGGCGGAGTTTAGCCATATTTCTGAGGTGGTAGAAGGAGGTCTTGCATGTTTGTTTGATGTAGGCCTCAAAAGTCAGGTGGGGATCCATGTTAACACCCAGATTGATGACTTGAGGAGAGTGGAATGTTCTGACCAGAGAAAGTGTGAAGGCAGGTGGTTCTTGTGGATGATGGCAGAGTGCAGAGGGGTTGGGTTTGTTCTGAGAGCTGTGTGTCATCAGCTTAGCAATGGAATGATATTCAATGCCGACTGATGACATGACCAAGGGGGGACATGTAAATGGTGAAAAGGGTGGGGCTGAGGACTGATCCTTGAGGGACACCACAGGTCACAGAGTGTGTTTGTGATTTTGCCGCTCCAAAGGTGACGTACTCTCCTCCCGGTGAGATATGAGGTCAACCAGTTTAGGGCCGAGTCTGGACCCAATTGTGGAGTGAAGAAGGTGGAGGGGGATGTCATGGTCGACGGTGTCAAATGCTGCAGTTAGATCCAGGAGGATGAGGAGAGATGGAGACCCGGTGTGAGCTGTCAACAACAGGCCGTTGGTGACCCTGACCAAGACACTTTCTGTACTGGGGCCAGGGCGGAAACCAGACTGGAATTTTTCAGAGAGGTTATTGTATTTAAGATGGTCCTGAATCTGAGTGGCATCTAATTTTTCAAGCACCTTGGATATAAATGGCAGGTTGGAGATGGGCCTGTAATCTGGGTCCGAGTGGTTTAATCAGTTTTGTGGATGGAACATGACCAAACTGGAGGGAGTGGTTTATATTCATTCTGTTTAACTGAATATTATGAGTAAAACTGTTACGTTTCTGCTTATAAAATATTTTGGTGCATTTACATGTTCAATTACTAATATTGTTCATTTTTGTCCATTTGGCTGGAATGTCATTATCACAGAAATAGCCTTAAATATCGTGATTGTATTTTAAAGCCATCTTGCCCACCTTTATCTGTTCTAAAAAATGAAAATATTTAAATCAGTAAAATTTTCAATACGGCCTTTCCTTATTTGGAAGCAAAGTTACAAATTTTATTGCATTTTTTATGAAATGTAGTTGTTTTTTTCTTTTGAGAATGACAATGCAAATGTGCACTGATGTGAGCTGTGTGTGTGTGTGTGTGTGTGTGTGTGTGTGTGTGTGTGTGTGTGTGTGTGTGTGTGTGTGTGTGTGTGTGCGTGTGTGTGTACTGTGCCCATGTGTGTATTTATGTTTCAAAACTAGAAAGATGATGAAAGTCTTTGGAGGAAGGACATCACTTTGAAACAGAAGTAAAGGAATACATGTGATTCAGTGGCTAACCCTTGCAAGTATTTATGTGTGTGTGCGTGTGTGTGTGATTGGTGCGTGTGTGCAATGTAGTAATTTTCCTGATGGACTGCATAACTGTAGATGGGGCTATTACTCAGAAAATAAAAAAATCAATTATTCCTAAAATGCCCTGAATCACACACACACACACACACACACACACACACACACACACACACACACACACACACACACACACACACACACACACACACACACACACACACACACTACTTTTTTACTGTAAAGCACTATTATTGTTTTATGCACAAAAAAAGACTCAAAGATGTACAGCAGTGCACAGGGAACACTTACTCCGGGCGGCACGCAGGTCTGCCTCATTTATATTATATTGCTCATATTTTCCTTGTTTTATTATTTTTCATGAAATACAAGGGCATTCATAGTTCCTTCATCATAGGAGCGTAGCCATGTCTTTAAATGGTGGGTGCCTTAGCACTGCTGTGTGTGGACCTTTAGGGTGTGTATTGGTGTGTCAGGTACCTCTCTGAAAGTGTGTGTGGATATTCTGCCTTTGGTTGTGTGGTGAGAGTGCGCGGCAGTTTCTCTTCTCATCTCTAATTCAAAAGGACAAATTGGAAAAAGGAACATTGTGCTCCTCATTTGAGCGCTCAAGTCAAATGAAAAGCAGCAGAATTATGAATCCTCTGCTGGAAGTAGCTGGAGCAAATCACAAGAATCTAAAGTATTTCACACACTCTCTCAAGTGACCACAACTATTTCACTTCACATCGTCGTCAGTTCAAAGAGCTACTCAGGCCTCTCGAGCTGCAGAAAGGCTTCGGTAGAAGGACTATTTCATATATATATATATATATATATATATACTATATAATAAAACATGTGCATGAATAGATATCTAGGGCAGCCTATTATTACAATTATTTATTTGGAATCTATCAATCAATAAACAACTAAAATGGTCATTGGATAAAAGTGCATCATGACTCTTTCGGGTTTAAATTTTTTTTTACATTTTCATTTCTGTTGCGAAGCACTTCAGTATAGACATGTTCAAACAACTAATGCTTTCAACAAACACAATACAAGTAATTACATGTATTATTTATTTGATTATGTTAATGTGATGTTGATTGTCGTAACGATACTGTACATATTTTACTCTATTTTATTTTCCCGAGTATTTATATTACTGTTCCTAGTTTTTTTATGTTTCTATATTTCATGTAAACAGTTTTTTGAAATGTTTTTATTGAAATAGTTTTATTTACAAAGTATCTTCTTTGACTACTGTATGTGTATGTACACATTTAAAAATATCTCTTCTGAGTTCACTTGGTCATGCACCTGGTTCTGATTCTGAATTCTATCCAATGACCTTGTCACAAAAATGAAAGTAAATGTTATGAGCCCAAAGTAAAGCATTTAGTGTGTGCTGCAGAGTGGAGAATGCTTTTTCTCCGGACCTCCCTTCTCTGAGAGCTCTTGACCTTTCTTTCTTCTGCACTTTTCTCACATTAAATCAATATCATTCTCATCACTCATGTCCACTTCATCACTTCCTGTGGACCAACATGGTATCACTGAGGGGAGGAGAGGGAGCCTGAGGATTCACCAGGCCCGGGGGGGGGGGCTGAGTGATGAGGTGATCGCTGATTAAGTGTTTCTTATCAGAGACTGAGTCCAGATGGTTGCAAACACACCTCCTCCTCATCCTCGTTCCGTCTTTCTCTCTATTCCACTCCTCTCCATATTTCATGCATTTCTCCACACTCGTCTTCTTCAGCTAGTATCTAGGATTCCTATTGCAGGGAGATTTCCAGTGTGACCTCCATGATATCAGTCGTACAGCTAAACGCTGACCATGCCTGTGATAATGAAGAGCTGCACTCTCTGGATCCCTGTCAGCTGCAGGGCAGAAAGGCAGCACACACACACACACACACACACACACTGATGCCCCTTTCACACCAACGCGTTTTCAGCTCCGGCTCGGAGCTGAAGCCTGAAAAGTACCGTTTTTTCCTGTTCACACCGCAGCGGCGCCGCCTCTTAGCTCCGGAATCCGGTTCACTTCCAGCTCCAAAATATTGTCGGTCTAGAGGCAAGAGCTTCGGAGCTAAGAAGCGACGTCGCTTACGTCGAGGCGTGCAGGAAACTAAACCCACCTCCCCTGAACATGGGTCGACTGAAGAGTCTCGTCATGCCTGCCTACAATCAGTAGTGCTGACAAAAGTGACTAGAAGGCAACCACACACTTATAAAAAGAAACACACTTTATAAAGTCAGGCAACACTAACCAGGCTTCGTGTGATTCCGTTTATTTGCACCTTACTTTGACCATCCGTTCACTGTTATTGATCATTGTGGGGAGCAGGCAGACGTTTTGTTTTTTATTATAGAAGCTATTGGATGTAATCCATGACATGGAGAAGAGGGGACACATGTTGATGTAGAGGAGACAGGAACAAGTGGATTTTGCACAACAGGTGACCTTTAAGTCTTTCTGCTGTCAATGAATATGTGCTGTGGCTTCAATGAGGCATGACATGCATGTCTAATGGACAGGGACAATGTGGACACAGCGGATGATCGATGGGAAGCGGTAAAGTTGTTTGACCCCAAGCTCTTGGGGTTACTTATTCGATGGAGGAAGTTTATGTTGATCTTTGTATGCAGCCCTCCTGGATCGCAATATAAGCAGCAGCCTTTTTTGTTTCATTTAAAATGAAACATCTTCAAAAGGAACTGCTTTTCAGTCAGCTCTCTGCATTCAGCTGATTTCTGTCCTGGGGGAATTATCATTGAAGTAGGTGGTTGAAAGGATACACAATTAGACATAAGTCAATCTAATTCAAAGTGAAACAAACACAAAGTTGCCTCCCAAATAATCTTAATAAGTCTGTCTGTCTGTCTGTCTGTCTGTCTGTCTGTCTGTCTGTCTGTCTGTCTGTCTGTCTGTCTGTCTGTCTGTCTGTCTGACAAAGTGCAGTTCAGGGGCTGCTGCATGTTTATACAGATATACGCTACATAATACCTTACTGGTGACACTTACTTGAGCATACCGTTGTTCATGCCAGACACCATCTTATCAAAGGCCTGTTCTAGAGGCTTCTCGGAGCCTTTCTGATTCACCTGCAAAAAACAAGCAAATACAAATTGGCCTTTTCCACTCTGCTAGGGCATGAATGTCTGCTCCAGTCTTTGATTCAAAAGCTGCTGGTATCATCTGAAACGGCATGATCATGTTGTGTCAGCTTGTCGCAAAGAAGGCTAAATAACGCTCCAAATTAAGGCTACATTTTAGCATGGGAACAACTAGCATGGCCATATTTACAGGGTCCTCTTAACAGCTCACCTCAAGATATCTGATTGAAAAAATGTTCACATGCAGTATAAATATGTTGTTTTAGAATACTTTACAAACTGGGTATCAAGAGGGAAAAAAATTTTTTCTGAATCAATGAGCACAATTTGTATTCATGTGTGATGACATTAGTCTCTGTAGTAGTGAGAAACCTGACCTCGCTGCGTAACATGAGCAGTTGTGGGCTCTACGATAGTTATAGCCTCATGACATTTTATAGCCAAAAACTACAGCCTGCGGGCATTCAGGGGATGCAAAGCTTTTACTAGATTTAACGACAAAGAGGGTTTCTAAACAGTTTTCAGAACAGAAGCTCTCACCATGCAGTCCCCATGTTTTAGATTCTGAAGCACAGCATGTGGTTTTCTTTTATCCTACCAGAGGTCTGTAATGGGGAGGGATGGAGTGAAGACCTTAAACAAAACATGTATACACATTTGTAACTATCCTCACCAGGTTCAGAAGGGTTTGCTTCCCATAGATAAGCAGCTGAGAGTCGAAATGCCTCTGGAAACCATCCATCTGTACAAAGTTTTCAAGAGTTTAGCATTGGATTTTTCCCACCACACCATTCAAAAGCACACATGAAAACAGCTGCTCTTACGTGATTAGTGGTTTTGCTGATTATAGGTTTAGGTTTGTATTTCAGGTTGGGCCTCTGACTCCAGTAGAAGGGCATGGAGCCTCGAGTCTGGAGAGGAAAACAAATGTTTGCCTTGAAAGGTCATTTCTGAAATCTTCTCAACTTCTTTAAATATCTGAACAAAGGGTGCACAGAAACATGTGTTTATGAGCCCTCATACTTGCCTGTATAAATGAAGCCTTTGCTCCCTCATACAAAACGATCTGCTCCGTCTCCACAAAGTTAGCAGCGTGGCCCTCAGAGTCGATGCCTGAGAGAGAGCAGCACAGAAAACATCCATGAGCAGTCAGTAGTCTCAGTACTGTGAGGTGTATAACCTTACCTTATATAGCTTGATTCCAATCTAGCCCCAACACCCTCTCCCTATTACTACGTTTACACATTAGGGTTCCATTTCAAACCAACTACCGTAATTTTCGGACTATAAGGCGCACCTGAATATAAGCCGCAGCAGCGGCATACCACTCTCGGTTCCACTTTTATTTTTGCGTGCTACCTGTCTCACTCTTTTCCGGCCTCCAGCTTTTCCTGCTGGAACCCGCCGCTTAAAGGTGGGGGTCCGCGGACCGGCCATAGAGCCCATAGAGTTAAAGGTGTTGGCCGTTAGCTGTAAAAATCCATAGATTAGCCGCACCGTTATATAAACCGCAGCGTCGAAAAATAGGGAAAAAGGCGCGGCTTATAGTCCGAAAATTACGGTAGTTGGGAGTTGGAGTTATTACACCCTCCAACAGGAAGATATTACGCCCCCCGACAGGAAGTCGTTACACCCTCCGACAGGAAGTTGTTACATCCTCAGACAGACAGGAATTCGTTACACCCTCAGACAGACAGGGGCCGTTTCTCAATCGGAGGATGCTTCCTTGGTAGTACATGTCTTCCGAGTAACTTGCTTCAGAAGCTAGGCAAGAATCCCATGGCATTCGGAAAACGAAGAGTGGAACAGGCTAGCAAGTGTGCAGGTGTGCGTCATATGAGAGGCCCCGCCTTACATTTTCCGCCACAGATTTGGGGAAATTGATCCGTGCGCAAAGCATTGTGGGGATTTTAAGGACGCAAAGTCTACCCATGTGCAGCCTCGAAATTACCCCCAAACCAAGGACGCGGCCTCGGTGGAATTCCAAGTATGCTGGAGATTGGAACAGCCCTTCGGCGGCACTTGATGACGTAGCATCTTGAAATATTGGCTTGGAAGGCAGTTTCCTCGAGATTGAGAAACGGCCAGGAAGTCGTTACACCCTCAGACAGACAAGAAGTCGTTACACCCTCCATCAGGAAGTCGTTACACCCTCAGACAGGAAGTCGTTACACCCTCAGACAGGAAGTCGTTACACCATCAGACAGGAAGTCGTTATACCTTTTAAGCGGAGGTTGTTAAACCTTCCTACAGGAAATAATTAAACCCTCAAACAGGAAGCTATTAAACCCTTGGGCAGGAGGTCATTACACCCTCCAACAGGAAGTTATTATACCCAACAGGATGTTATTAAACCCAATAGGAAGTTATTAAACCCTTCAGAAGGAAAAACGATAGAAGTTTATTGTGAAGTTTTGTATGTATTTACAGGAACTTTTGCAATCTAGACGCAGCTCATTAACATCAGATTTAAAAACGAGAAGATGTCTACTACAAAAAGAAATGCCACTTTTTAAAATTAATTAAATTATTATTTTTCATCCAAGAGATGCAGACTTAAAATAACGGTTACGAAAAGATTCCACCTTTCCTGTTTCCTTGCGGCTGTTTTTACACCCTCTGTCTTAAAGAAGTAGCCTCATTCAGCCGAGAGTGAGACTAAGGACAGAGTTCACCCTAGATCAGGGTTCTGCAACCTTTTTGACCAAAAGAGCCATTTTGCTCCTTTTTCCAAAACATTTTTTTGTCTGGAGCCGCAAAACATATTTCATAGCTTGATTGCTAATAAAGTTGTATTTATTGTTATATCAGACAAAAACTACAGTTTTTTTGCATTTATTAGGCCATTTATTACATTATATAAAACTGTTAACCTCTAATAAGAAACAAAGAACTCCTATAAGGAGAATTAAAAAGAATACACAGGCCTACTTTAAAATAAATTAAACACAGCACTTGGGGAGTCCTCTGCACATTTGAAGGAAAAAAAATATTATTAAAATGTGCCTACTTTGAAATAAATAAAACATATAGCTGCACCCTAAAAAGAGTTAAAGGTAGGGTAGGTAAGAATGGAGAAACCAGCTCGAGTGCACTAGAATTTGAAAATACACAACCGGAGAAAATATGCCTCTTCCTTCAGACTTCCTCACAGAGCCCCTCCTCCAACACACACGAACGCGCACATGACCAATGAGGGCACGAGATAAATGTGTGCACAGATGGAAGGCTGACAGGCTGACAGGCTGCCAGTTATTTTAGCCTGGCCGGCTCAGATGATTGGTCGTGCTTTTTACAGCGCTACGGCTTCCAGAGATTAATTTTTGTATGTATTTATTGTCAAAGCATTTAATATATTCATTGCTATCGGGACGTTAAGAGCATTCCATGGAATATAACAAAAGTGTTTTCTGAAATAAATGACATACCCCATTGAATTATGACTGAAGATCGTCAGCTGTCTTCCTCTCCGTGTTGTTCCCGTTGTTTCTCGATACGTAAAGGCTGCAGTGCAGCACCTTTGACAACTTCTCTCTACATATCAAACATACCGGTAAACCAGCATCGTTTGCTGTGAAAGCATATAACTCTGTCCACACAGAATTAAATCCTGTGTTCCTCCGGTACTTTTCTTTGATTTATCCATAGTTCGCTCATCGAGCCGGGGGTCCCCGCGCGAGTGCCTC